ATACTCACTCTTCACCCAAGTCCACCACCTCTCTACCGAGAAAAGAGAGAAAAGTATGCTTCATTATCACTTTTTCTGGCATCTGAATTAGGTCTGAATTGTGTCTCTGAATTTTGTCACTGAATTGATCTAAATTCTAATGTCTTTAAGTTTTGTAAAAGTGAGTGTAATAGCCTACAACATTCCTGTATCACAATTTGTAGTTATTCTCTATAAATGATAGGCACATAACTCTGTTTTCAATTTTTTGTTTTTGACACCACAAAATGTGAGGCTTTGAATATCCTGACATATATGGCAACCTTCCCCTCTGTCTTCTTAGGGCAACTGCCTAGGATTGGTCTTAAGGCTGGGTCAAAGTGTAGGAAATTAATTCAGACTAGTCATTAGAAGACAAATACCAAAGCTGAAGCTTAAATACTTTGGGCATATAATGAGCAGATAGGACTCACTGGAAAAGACCCTGATGTTGGGGAAGACTGAAGGCAAAAAGAAAAGGGGACAGCAGAGGATGAGATGGATAGATAGTGTCATGGAAGTGATGCACATGAACTTGGGTAACCTTCTGGAGATGGTGGAGGAAGGAAAGGTCTACCGTGCTATGATCCACGAAGTCACAAAGAGTTGTACGTGAACTCATGATTTTGTATATGACTAAACAACACCAATGTATAGGAACACAGAAGTGCCTTTTCTAGCTTAAATCCAAATTCTTTTACAGAACAGTCTGACCAATCCACAACTATGACAATAGTTTATCAGTGACACTATATGCTTCAAAGCAGCTAAGTCCCTCCAATGGTGCAGATCATAACCCAGACACACCTCCACATTTTATATAATCCTTGCTCATGACCTCCCAGAAATTCTTCAGAGATCTCTCCAATATGATGATGGCCTTCTCCTTGGTCTTTGAACATCTGGGAGATATTACCGCAGTTTTCTATCCCTTTATAGCATTATGTCACTTTCTTTATATAACCCAGCCACTTCCTTTTCTGACAAAAAATATTTCCTGAATTATATTTTTTGGCTATTCCTTGAACATAAGTCAACACTGGCAATAAGCGGCGATCGATTTATACCACATCAAGCACTATCCTACACAAAATTTCCACTCGTTGGAGAATACAGTGTTCCATGACTCAGACCACGCATCATCACTGGTAGTATTGGACATCATGCCTGTAACAATGCAGCCTAAGAATACATTAGTTCTTTTGGCTGCCACATCACACTGTTGGTTCATACTGAGCCTGCAGGCATTTAAAACTCTTAGATCTTTTTTTTTTCCCACATGAATTGTTGTTTAATCACACCTCCCCCACTCTTTCCTTGAATAACTGAGTTTTGAAACTCAAATGCACTTGTCAAGAATATTATAAATGGAATTTGTGTACCGGCTCCAGGTTTGACAGGGTAGCCCTTTACAATGCTTACAATTCTTTGAATCTAGTCTCAAGGCCTTCCTTTTAATGTCAAGAAAATAAAGCCATTGGTGAAAATGAGAGCATTTCATCTTTCATCAGAAGCTAAATCAAGCAAGTGTTAAAATGACTGCGCCCCTTTAAAAAAAGTCACTGGAGATATAACCAGAACACAGGTGATTCTTTACTGAGATACACAGGGCAGTAGAATTGTCTGAGTACCTGATGGACTCCTAGGTATTACTTTAATCACCATGAAAGCTGACAACACCTCGAGAGATTTCTTATTATCCTATTGAAGAGTGCCTCGTTAACTTGAATCTACTTCTACACTGTCATAAAACTGGAATCCTTGGAAGCACAAGCATTCCTCTTGAGACAAACATGGTAAGTTTGTCTTCAGTCCTTTGATTTTTTGATCAATACCATTATTCAGAAGTTGTTAGTTCTCAAATAGAATTTGGTCATTCTATCTGTTTGGCCAAAGGGAATTGCCTCCTCCAAACAGGTTCGCTCAAGCCACACGCTACAACAGAAGTAATATCAGAACCGCTAGATATCGAAACCATCTTCTCAGGATCTCATAGTCCATTCGGTCCCCTACAGGTAGCTCCTCCAATCACTCTTGGAAAGGATGCTATGGGTAAGGGCTATTACTTGATCGATTTAATCAGGCTGGGTTTGGCCTCTACTTTTTGGTGCTGTGTAAGAATGCTGATATAAATGGAAATTTTCGCTTTTTCTTCAGTTCACTTTTGAACAACTGACTAGTCTTTTGCAGCGGGAGAGTTAGCATGAGAGGAGTAAACTCCTTCCCTAAACATCAAAGCCAACATAGATACAAAACAACAGCAACCTGCTTGTATCTAACTGTCTAGATTAGAACTGGACAATCACACTTCATATTCATCAACAACCCCATTCAACTGAACGACAAATGTTAATAACAGCAATTCCTAAATGAACACATATGTGTCTTTATATACATGTTTATATACATATGTATACATAGACGTATAAAATTATCTTGATGGGATAAAATAGGCTTACTCTGCCAATATATAGGACTGATCTATATAGGAAGACTGATCCAGGTTATCCTTTAATTTTTACCCCATTTTTGAATAAGTACCTTTATTTCTATACTTATAAATGAATTTTACATTCCATCTTAATAAATCCTCTCCAAAACAATGAGATCTCAGAAAAATGATGCACCCTTGTTTTATCTGGATGTTTTTATTTCTTCTAAAGCAAGTATTGCATATATCTCAGTTCACGCCTTTCTTTGAAATCTACCCTCTAGGGGGCAGCTACGTGGCCCAGTGGATAGAGCACTGGCCCTGGAAGCAGGAGGCCTGAGTTCAAATACAGCTTCAGACACATAACACTTACTAGCTGTGTGACCCTGGGCAAGTCACTTAACCTCAATTGCCTCACCAAAACAAACAAACAAACAAACAAACAAAACAAAGAGAAATAAGAAATAAGAAGAACGCTATCCTTTACTACCGGAGAGACCGGCTAGGTAGATAGAGTGCCAGGCTTAGAGTCAAGAAGACTCATTTTCCTGAGTTCAAATCTGGCCTCAGACAATATACTGGCTATGTGACCTTGAGCAAGACACTTTTAGCCTCAGTTTCCTCATCTATAAAATGGGCTAGGAAAGGAAATGGCAAACCACTCCAGCATCTTTGTGAAGAAAAACCCAAACGGGGGTCACAAAAAGTCAGACAATTGAAAAACAACTGAACAACAACTGCTCTAGATCCCTCTTTTGGCTGGTGTAGAGGCCACCCCTCAAACCTATCCTACATAGCTGAGTTCATAAGCATGCATAAAACATGGGCTAGAGTCCTTGGAAAGGAAAAGACGGGTCAACGACAATGCTCACTTAGGGTGTGCCTGCTCATAACGTATGCACACCTATGGCTACATTATCATAGGAAGATCAAACCCTCTTCCACTGAAGGAGGTTTAGAATCCCTATCTCATCTCCTTCTAAAACCAGCGTCCCTCACCAATCCCCCAATTTCTCTATTCTACTGTCAAAGGTGCCACTACTCTCACAGTCATCCAGGCTGACGGACATCTTTGACTGCTCCCTTTCCTCAATTTCTCCAGAGCCTCCACTCATTAAGTCCTACAAATTCTTTTCCTAGTTTTTCTCACATTTGTTCCATCATTTCCATTCTCCCTATCATGATCCCAGTCCCCAGTGCCTGAATTATTTTAAGTCTAACTGTTCTCTCTTTCTAGAGTCTGTCTTCCAAACAGCCTACAAACCATTGCCAAATTAACTTTCCTAAAATACTACTTTCATGTCGCTCCTCAATTCAGTTCCCTAACTTAAAAATGTTCATTGACAATAAAATAAAATATAAACTTCTTAGCTTGACATGCTCATGACAATGCCTCTATTATCTGTCCTCAATCTACTTATCCAACCTTATATGTTACATTTCTCAAACACTTATTCATTAACCTTCTACTCTAGCTAGAGTTCTCCTTTCCTGGACTACAAAGACATTTACTCATCACTAGCTCTCTACGAGTATTCTCAATTCACTGTACCCAGAATAATTATCTTTTTTTCCCACTCCAAAAAATACTAAACATCCTTATACTAAACTGACTCAAGTTCTATTTCTTCAGATCATCTGTACTAATGATTTTTATTGTCTTCAGTCTACACTAAAGTCTTCCTTTTCTAAAATACTTTATGTCTATGTCAGCAATTTGATACTGAATCAAACTATCTGGTAATTTATTTATTTAGCTTTTTGGTTTCTGTTTCTTATAGGCCAACTTGATTGTAAAGAGCAAGTCATATATTTCTTCATATCACCCACAGTTGCCTAGATTGTGCTGACAATGGGTGATCAATGAATTGTGTCTATCCACTGATTCCATTTCTGGAACGCCTGAGTGTTTTGGAGACGATGTCCTTGGTTTCAGGAAAAGACCAGGACATATTTCAGATTATATGAAAAATGAGAGGCAAGATGTTACTGCTATTCCTTAGGAGAAACCCTTTCTGCAATTTTTGTCTCGTTTTCTCATTTTCCCAAGGTTAATTTAAATAGGGTTCCAGACTCTAAAAATATTGAACATAATATTTCTAAACTGAAAAATTCCATCCCACCCACCAAACCTGAGAAAAAGTCCAAATGTGATTCAAAGACAAGTAAAAGTCAAAATAAAGTTATTATGAGCCATCTGAACACAGAGAAGTGTCTATCATTGATATGGGGAAAGCTCAATTTTAAAAAGTAGTTCAAATGAAATATGCACATTCTTTTTTAACTACTGCCTCTCTTCATTTTTTTATACTGGTACTTAAGAGCCTATAAAAGGAGTTTACTGTGAAGAACTAATGGAGATATACGATACGATATTTTTGTTTGTTTTCAATCAGCCAAACTCATCCAAGAAATTTTGAGTAATCTTCATAATTTCCAGCACATAAAGCCAACACAGTTAATATTTATTTTTAAAGACCAAAAATCTGCAGGCACTGATGGGATATTAATTAGGTTTAAAAAATTCCATTTTATATATACTTTCACTTACTCAGGGGCAAACGAAGGCAAGTTCCCAATTTTCTCTGGATTTTCCTTTTAGGTCAGTTTTCTATCATCAATTACCTGCCAATAGGAAAAACAAAAACAAAGTTTTAGCCTTAAAACAAATTCATCAGTACCTTACAATCAGAAAAATTCTGATTTTCATTTTTATGAAGAATCTGGATTCACTGCAAAACTCTTAACATATAGAGTACAACTACTACCATATTCTGTTCTTAAAAATTTAGGCTCCTTTTTAAAATATATAATGACAGTACAGCAGAACCTTTTGTGGTAGCAAAGAACTGAAAATAAAGTACATATCCATCAACTGTGGAAATGCTGAACAAGTTGTAGTCAGAACACATAACAAAATATTGTGCTTTAAGAAACAATGAACATGATCAATAAAAAGAAATAGGGAAACACATATCAACTGATACAAAGTAAATAGAACCAGAAAAAACAATAGACACAACTGTAGCAGGTAAATGAACAACAAAACAATTAAGATTGAATGTTGCAAAATTATAACGAACAAACTTGGCTCCACATGAGAGATCAGAGGAGATACAGCCTCCCTCTCATCCCCTACACACACTTCTTTGCAGAGGTGGAAGCATGAGATTTTTCTGATATATTGTTTAGTCTTACATAACTTTTTTTGTCTATTCTTCATTATAAGAGATAACTCACAGGGAGGTGGTGGGACACAGTGGAAAGATATTTCAATGGTCTCAAAGCAAATGATCTGGTCTGACTAACATTCAAAATGGTAGTCCTACGCAAGAACTGAAGGTCATCCCAAGAAAAGGTATGTTCTTTTGCCTGTCTATACACAGAGATAATAGTATAATCTGATTTTCAGTTACTCAAATGTTTCCAGTAATCTGAGTTTTACCTCAGCCACAAAAAGGCCAAACGCTGACTAGAGAAAGACACAAATGCGAATTTAGGAAGACAGTTCAACTTCTGCCTAAATATTAGGAACTGGCTTAACTGGGGGATTTGCAGCTGCTGTCACTGAACTCACAACTTTTTGGAGTCTGGGGGAAGAGCAGTGTTAGTATTTTCTGTAATTTCATGCTCCTCCATCCCTAATATATATATAAATAAAATGTACACACACACACACACACACACGTATATATACACATGTGTATAGGTATAAACAAATGCCCTATCTTTAGAAAATAATACAACTATCCTTCAATGAATAGCATTTGCATTTGGTTAAATAGTGTATATATATGAGGTTATAAGGTATAAAACAAGATTGTAAGATTTAGTCCCAGTTATAGAAAAATATCCCCAAAGTGACCAGACTGAGAACTTCTAGTAAGCAAAAGAGGATTTGCCTTGTATTTTATGAAGAATTATATTTAATAAAGTAATAGTATACATACTGAGTCATAATCCCTACCATCATTAAGATTTCCATATAACACTCTCACAAAAACAATTCTGAAAACATTTTCAAAATCCTCTACAATATGGCAGGAAAGTTTCATTTGCTTCTAGGGCTTTGCTCAATTCATTTAAAAAAAGTTATTTTTTTGCCATCTCAGCCCTACATCTGACCAGACCAGAAAGTAAGACTGGTTAACTGAAGCCTGAAGGAAGCACATGCCAACGTGTTGTTGTTCATTTCCCATTAGATGCTCCTCCTGGTTTCAACGGTACCATCATCATCTCCACACATACCCCACCCCTGTATGTCCATCACTATGGAGATTGCTTCATCACTGGCACTCAACACTTCATCAGTAACGTCAGTTGCCTCTACTCTCTGACTGGAGGTCTAGAGTGTGGAACGAAAAATTCCTCCTTTATAGAGCCCAGCCAACTCTTCCTTTCTCACCAGCTGCGCTGCCTGGTGTTGACTTCAACATCATCATTTCCCTGCATTACTCCTTCCTTTTGAGAAGGGGGTGGAGGAAGGAAGAATCTTCCCCCTTTAATTTGTAAACTCCTGGAAAGAAGGGACTTTTTAATTTGTTTTCTCAGCCCTTAGCACAGTGCCAGGAACAGAGTAGTGCTTAATAAATGTGGTACTGTATTGTATTGTGGTTAATTGTTTTGCTAACATGCACCTTTTAAAGGAGGTAGAATATAGTATCCTGAACACCTGAAATATATAGTATTTCTAAGTAGAGGTAAAAGAGAACACAGTACAACATATCAGAGTGATCTATTAAAAAAAGAAAAAGAAAGAAAAGAAAAATCTCTATGTGTACATTATATGGTATCTGTTACTGTGCTTACTATATGGTCTTACACTAACTGATTTTGTTGTTATAAGGGCTCATTTACTACATTTTAAAAGAAGGAAGTCAACTAGCTCCCTTCCTTTAAGATAATGAATATCCAAGGACACAACTCTTACTTAGAAAAGGATCAACAGGCAGAATTCTGTACAAACCACTGCTGCTGCTGCTGCTGCTGCTGCTGCTACTTAGCTCAGTCAGTTACTATCATGTGATCTCCTCCACTCTCTCCTCCATTCTCACTCGCCCCTCTCTGAGCTAGATAATGAATAAGCATGAATTTGTATCACATTTGTAACTTTTACAATGTAAAACCAGAACCATAAAATTAAAGCAATCCAAAATAACAGGAATGACAAGCCACTAATGCCAGCTACTTTTACATTTCAATGATATATTAGTTATAAATAATATTTATTCTTGGAAGAACCTCAGGCTTGCAAATGCACACGTTTCTTGCTCACAATACTTACAAAATACATGTATACACACTGTTGTTGACATGCATACCGTTTTACTGATTATTTCTTTTATGCAATTAATGAATCCATCATGTTCTTTGTATCAGATACTCAGCGACATAAAATTATGAATAATCTCTTTATCCAAACTACAAGAGGCTATACAAATTCCACATGGAAATAAAGTAAATTTTATAGATCAGAGTTCCTATTTAAAGATCATTTACTACATGCAAATCTGGTATGTCAGTCTCATAAAATGATAAAGTAATAATATGAGTCAATCGATTCCATAAGATATAATTAACTTATTTAGCTAGACTTAAGTCTCACTGAGGGAATCCTAGGTATCACAGACAGAATTTTAACAAGTTATCATATCTCATAAGAATTCAGATGAATACAATGATCAATCTTGACTCCAGAGAGCTGATGATGGCACATAGCTCCATCTTCTCTGGAATGAAATGTTGAAATACAGAAGCAGAATAAGGCATAGGCTATCAGACATAGTCAAACTGCCTTTGCTTATTATTACTTTTTTTTATTATAATGTAGGGGCCCCCTATGATTGAGGAAGAAGAAAATATGAGAAAATAACTGTGATGTTAAAAAATCACTAATAAAACTTTTCTTCCTTTCCTTCTTTTTTAAACAATCAACTGAGGAGGAGAGAGGAAGTTATATAATCACAGATCTATATAGAAGAGGGGAAAATATGTGTAGACCTCATAGCAAAAAATGATGGACAGTTGGCAAACTGCAAAGTCCCTTTAGTACAAATAATTAATGCCCTATAGTGGTCGCATTATTCATATTCACTCTCATTCAAAATTATAATTATGTAAAATATGGTAAGTGGCTCCAGCCCAATGGAAACAAGCAATGCAAATTTTCAGGGGATTCCTTGCTTGAACTAATCAGGACCTGGCCTTACTCTACTGGTATCCATAAAATGTCAAGACAAAGAGAAAAAAGCTTCCCAGCATATGGGACAGATCCCCATCGCTCCTCTCCTTTGAGGATGTGCTGGAAGACATGGACAAGAGTTGTACAAAATGGTAAGATAGAGATGGATTGCAATCTGCATCACTGGAGGAAGGACCACACACAAAGAGATCACAGATCTACTGAGGTATGATTTCCAAATGAATATTTCTCTTTCTAAACTGTTTTATAATTAAACTTCTACATTACTTCATAGTTCTAAATAAGGTTTAATGTAATCTTTATTAAGGAAAATATTATTTTAAGGAATAAAGACAATGAATGCATCAAACAGAGCTGGATTAGCAATTTTTCCTCACATATACAGCTAATTTTTAAGTGAAAAGTTACTAAAATGAACGTGTACAGCTATAAAGCCTAATGTTTCATAAGAACCTAAATAATCCTTACGCTATGGTACTAATTAGTTTTCCAGTTTATAGATGACTAAATGTATCACAAGGTACTAAGGCACTTTGAAAAGAACCCTAAACAATCTGTTTTGGATCTTTAAAAGTCCTGCCTCTCCACAATTTGCACCGAGCATTAAACAAGATTTTAAATATAATTACAAAATACATTATTTATCTCTAAATTCATGCTCGAAATTCCCAAATACCATATGTTTATACAGTGTTCACATTTCAGTTTCTATCACAAGGACACATGCAAAAAATGTCCTACTCACCCCACATCTAGAAAGGGCAACTGCATGGTTTGCAATTTCATTTACTATTTGGTGAACAAATTTTTAAAAACAAATGTAAATAAATTAAAAACAGCTCTTTGAATCAGATTAAATGAGATAAAATTCGTAAAGTGTTAGCACAGAATCTTGCACTCAGTAGGAGTTTAATAAATGTGTAGTTCCTTTCCCTCTTCTTCATCAAACTACCATATATTTACATATTTTAAGATTATGATAAATCAGAACAGGAACTAATGGTGCTAACAAATAAAAAACACTTAGCAAGTACCAGTACTGAAGACATTAAGATCCTGGAAATACTCCTAAAGCTAACTTCAGGAATTAGTCAACAAACAGATGCTATTTGCATTTCATGTTTTCATTTCACAGGTATTATATTTCACCCTAGGGAACTTGGTGCTTAAAAGTCAATCAAGGCAGAAAGCATTAACAAAGTTGATTAAATAATCAACTTTGGGAAAATAAGTAAAAAGGGAAGGAAACTTTACTAGGGTGCTTAGTGTTAAGAACCTGGGGTTCTTAACTTTTTTGTGGCTCATAGACATCTTTGATATTCTTAGGAGGCCTATGGCGCTCTTCTTAAAATAATATTTTGTTTTGATTTTTAAAAATTTCACAGTTGAAAGAAATTGTAAATTTGAGTTACAGATCAGGGAA